ATGGTGTAACTGCCGACCGTCGATTTTCACTCCCATATTATCCCATTCCAATGTTCGCATGGCGTTCTGGAGGGTGGCGGTAAATAATTTTGGCGAGATGGTAACGCCTTGCCTAACCCCTCTTTTGACGTCAACGTTAATATCGTTGTAGAATGGTGAAATCTTGGTTGTGAAATTTTTGTACAGCTCACGAAGGATCTTTATGTACAGAATAGGGAACCCTTGACTATCAAGGGTTTTCCAGACTGATTCCATCTCAACTGAATCAAAGGCCTTTTGTAAACCGATGAAAGTCAGACAGAGCGGTCTTTTGTACTTTCGCAATACTTCAATGAGCCGTGTTACCGTGTGGATGTGGTCCATCGAACTAAATCCTCTTCGAAACCCTGCTTGCTCACATGGCTATCCTTTGTCTAGTGTTCTGTCAATCCTGTTTAGGATGACTCGAGTGGAAAGTTTGTAGACGACAGACAGTAAGCAGATTGGGCGATAGTTGCCGATATTGTGGAGGTCACCCTTTCTGAAAAATAGCACGGTCTTGCAGGTCTTACACTGAGTAAGGACCTTGCATTCAGACAGGTAGCGTGTGAAGAGCCGAGCCAGTGTGTTTACGAGGACTGGTGCAAGTTTCTTCAGGTGTTCTGGTCTTATCCTGTCCGGACCTGGTGCTATTCGATTTTTCATCGACGAAATGGTAAGTCGGATTTCGGGAGGGAGAACCGGTGGTACAATATATCCATCCTCCTTTATTTCATATGAGTGAAGGTGGACGTGGCTATCGAAGAGATCTGAGTAGTATTTATGAATGGTTTTCTCCATTGCCTTTCTGGACGCTGTAACTGTCTCATCTGGGAGAGCAATCATTTTAGTCTTGTAATTGGCGAAGCTTCGGTGTGGTTTGCAAATGCTTTTCCTAGCCTCAGCAGCTCGGGCCATTACTGCTGCTCCATTTCAATCTTTTCACTCTAAAATCTTCTTTTATCGCCTGTCTGCATTGTTTCGCACGTTCGGACGTTACTCCGCGGTTGCCTGCAGCTCGTTCAATTACACGCTGGCGTATCAGCTCGAGTGTTTCTGGAGACAGACGTCTCTTGGTGACTTTCGAACTCTGACCTTTCATAGCGTTAGCGTGATGATGTTAAATGAGCCGATCGTATTCTTCGCCGATATTATCGACAACGGCATCTTCCCAACAGCTAATGAATTGAATAAATCGCAGTTTGTGGTGGTTCTGGGACTTCGGTTTTTGAATTTAGCGGGTTTTTGTCCTTTCCACGTGAAACAGAACCTTGCACGAAAGAGGCGATGCCGTGTAGAATTTTGGGACAACAACGACATCGGTTAAGCAAAACCTTCTATTTACTATGATATGGTCTATTTTGTTATGGTGCTCTCCATTGAGAGACTCCGAGGTCCAGCGTTGAGGGTGGAGCTTCTGGAATTGCGAGTTACCATGGTTGGTCTTGGTCAACATGATAAACTTAGCCGCTCACCATGTTCGTTCCATTCTAATCCGTGGGTCCCAATGTGACGTTCTTCAGACGTTCGTCTTGGTCGAATCATGGCGTTGAAATCTCCAATGATGACCTTGAAGAATGTGTGGTCTTCTCTGTAGAACTTCTCCAAGTACATATAGAACGCTTCGACTTCTTCGTCATAGTTGGATGTCGGTGCGTAAACGACAAAGATTGTCAAAGCCAGAATTGATCCACGTCTTTCTAATCGTAAACGTCCAATTCGGGTTGTATGTTGTTCGAATGAATCGATGTTCATGGACAAACTCGTGTTGACGAGAACGCCGACGCCGCCGACTCCTCTACTGTCGCATGTTCCGAGGAACAGTTCTTCTCCAGTGTCATAGACGGCGTTGAAAGGTTGGCGTCTCCTCGTCTCGGCCAAGCCGATGACGTCGTACCTTATCCTTCCTCCTTGCATGAGCAAGTCTTCTATCGAGGACTCTGATGCAAGTGTACGTGCATTGTAGGTACAGATCGTCGCCATAGTTTTTTGAAACCCAGGCAGCTTCCATTGGCCCTGATATTTTAGCAGCCTATTCGTGCTCGTCCTACTCAACGCTGCGAAATTAGGGGCTCTTTCGGGGTCAGGGGAATGAGGCCCGTTTTTTTTTTACTGTGTTTGCTCTGAACGTGGGGGCTGGGTATACTCACGGGTAGCTTGCCAGGCTGTCCCAGAGTGAATGTGGAGCTTATTTGTTGGAGGCGACTCCTAACCGCCTCCCATATACTTCCCAGTCACTTGATTGTACGCTTTTGGCCGAATTGACTCATAGAATACAATCCGAATAAGCAAGAACGCACCCACACACGCATGCATGAATACGCTTAGCAAATACAGAAAGTATGTGCCAAATCAGCTCAGCAGAAACAGGGAATCTATCCCCTGGATCCACCTGCGTCTTAGGGAAGCAAAGGTCGCTTTTGTTCCGCAATTAACCCTCTATCCGCCACCTGGGGACGCGCCACATAGCCTCGCGACTAACCGGTTCGAGATCCCTCATGTGAGGGAGATCCGTGGGAAGACAGAACATGGCAGGAATAATGTGACCAAAGTTTCTAGCGTTGGTACATTCAGATGGCAGAGACATTAGCCATCCAGGCGATCAGAACGAGACTATCAAACTACGCAGTTAATGATAACTTGGTCATAAATAAGAGTGTTCTAAGAAAAAAAACTACAAAATTTTTCTTCAGGAAAATTTAAGTATCAATTTTAAAGCAATTTCTAAGAAGCGGATCCACTGATGATCGATTGAGACAATTTTCATACCTTGCCATAGAGATGGTACAAGTAAAACCTTAATGAACGTCCTGATTAATAGTTCAGTCCAGCTATCTGTGGTTCGTAGAAAAGAAAATATCATAAAGAACGATACAGTGCAAATTTATCGGTGTTATAATAGTAACTTCTAGCTTTTCAAATAATCTGACCTAGATCGACGTATTAGTTTGCTAAGCAATGAGGTGCGTGTATCGCAACGGCTAAAGGTACCGCGGAATACACTCGTAGTTATTGCTTCGATCCTGTCCTGGGTCCTCCCAATCCCACCAAGGTTCATATCCTTGGGACACGCCAAATTAGTACTACTCTTGCCTGAGAGGATAAAACACTGACCTGATACATCAATAGACCATAACAAGTTACTGTATAGGTAAGAGATGCACTCAATCACTCCTAGCCATCTTTGGTAAAGTGGAAGGCCCTTCATCGAATGACAAACGTCGGAAACGTTATCCTCTGTCCTTATCGTATAAGAAGTCTAGGGGATTGACAGGCAATTGTAACGTTTCCTCTTTCTCATCGTGGCGTCGGCGAACAATCTTACTATTGATAATGCATCTCATGAAACTCGTTCGTTTAAAGGCTCTTCACAACATGTTAAGAGGACTCTCGATCATGCAGAGTACCTTCTCTATCTATTCGGATAAAAGACAACACCGATAAGACCCGTGTAGCAAAGAACGACCAGATATAAGCAGATTCAAGCGAAGACCTCAACACCGAGTGGCCCTTCATTCAAAGGAAGAAACTGGCCTTTGGCATGCTAACTCATAATCCAACCTTGTTGGTTCATCTGGTAACTACAGTTTACAGATCACTTGTAGGTTTCTTGACCGTCACTCATAGCCTTTCAAATTACCTATATATTATAACACTTTTAAATTGTAGAAATCACAATACGGATCCACTGTTAGGGATCAAACAGATACGGCAGCGAGTAATCAACTAATTACTCTTCACACTATCTGATATTCAACTGATTATCCCACCACTGAATTACAACAAATACCGATACAAGTAGCGCGTGTGGCGCAGTGGTCAGAGGCGCCCTGCAATACACATGTGATCGAGTCCCTCACCCATGGCTCACCAAGCCTTCCATCCCTATGGGCTGGACAAATCGGTACCAGACTTGTCTGGGAGGATAGCAGCACTGATTCGATACATCAGTCGGCCACCGCGAGTCATTGTGGAGGCCAGATATGCGCTCACTCACCTCCAATGATGCTTAATGACAACGAATGCATGCGGCATCCATCAGGGATTGATTAATGAGGAGATATTTACCCTTTATCCTTTATATCGAGTACAAAGTGGTGTGTCAGCCACTACAACACTGGTGCGTCGATGCCAAAAAACATTATACAGTAAATCAAAAGGATAAACCGCTAGGCGTTTATCAATCCCTGAGGGATGCACCATGCAATCGACTTTACTAAGCATCGTTCAGAGGTAACTGAATACATATCTGGCCTTTACAATGACTCTCGGCGGTCAACCGATGTATCGAGCCAGTGCTACTATCCTCTCAGACAAGTCTGGTACCAATTTGCTGACCCCGGAGCGATGGAGAGGCTTCGTGAGCCATAGGCTCGGGGACCGACTCCACGTGTGTTGTAGGGCGTCTCCGACCACTGCGCCGCACGCGCCCTCTACACTACACAGTAAATGCTTCTGAACCCAATGAACTTTGGTTATGCAATCTGCTTCTAGTTTTAGCTACGCACCTCAGTTCTTCAATCGTGCACTTAGCTGAGTTACTACAAAATGCACTCTATCCGATGTGTACGCCAACGCTTCTGAAGTGCTATCGAAAAGAAGGCATCGAGTCGAAAAATACTTCAGTTCCTATTTGAAGTCGTCAACGTTGTAGTGACTGCCATGAAAGGAAGCTTGCAAAAAAAAGATGAAGATCACATGATGCAAAGCCCAGTATATTCGCAGTGTGTAAGACCGTCTTCCATCAAGCGATTCCCGTTGTTTACGTTAAACATGTGTGCAGCCGACCTCTGTAGTGGAATAAACTGAAACCTTTGCACTAGGTAGTAAGCGCAGTTAATTTACGAACGCAGTATGGTCGATCCGTGTTCGTCCCTAACATCAGTTCCTAATACAGTATTCCACGCCTTTCACACCAATAATACGGAAGGATCTTGCAGTTCTATGGCTTCTGTCCCGGTTAATCTGACGGCTGCTTCTTTTCACGTGGCACTTGGATTCCATAACCAACAAAACGCTGTCGTGCACAGTAACACCGACTGATATGCTGTTGATGCTGGTGATGACGATAAGCTGGCTATTTCCAAGCCACCTCCAGTAGGTGCATTAGCCTCTTTTAAAGTGTTGTACTATTTTCGTACCAATCAAGCAACTTCAGAAACCATAGCAAAGCCATACTTGTTCCATTAAATCTTAATATGTCACCAAGATACGCTTACCGATAACCTGACACTGTTCAACTTACGAGGCAACAACACCTTTACTGTACCTCACGGTAGCAATGCCTTGATCATTCTTAAAAAGAACTGCTTCATCATTTTCATCATTAGTGGATAACTTGTTGACTTCAGATTCAATCTGTTATAATAGATCGGAAAGAGGACTAATCCTAGTAATTGCTTCTATCATAGGAATGGATGTCACTCTGGAAGAATTCCACTCCAATTTAGTCCGTTGAATGATTGGCTGTGGTGAAAACACTGAAACGTTCTAGAAACGCTTCAATTAAGATGCAGCTGAACAGTTCCATGAATGATGGCTGTACAACAACGGAATGGAGAACTGCTGGTTCCCACATCAACATTTGGGACAGCTCCACGAATGTTAGTATTACTTGTCAATTTCAAGTTAAATGTGAGACGGTCTAAGAGTAGATGAGTTGCTTAGAACTAATCCAACTTCAGCTTCATCGAAACAGATCACATTACCAAATAATCTGCTAAGTGTTAACTTTTTATTTAGTGTCTACTACAATTTTTCATGGGCAGGATATTATGTGCGACACAACCACGATGGTGCTGAGATATTTACAAAACCCCGGACCACAGGTGTATGCGGCGGGGATCTAACACTTTTTACCCTTTCCACGAGTTAATGCGTCCACCACCACACCATGCGCATCCTTCACTTCACTTTTCTCTCAGCTAGATTTCTTTCTACCAATGCCATCAGCAATCTGTTCTTAGTGTTTGTGAGCATAAATACTTTATCAGTAGGTATAATACGTCTACTATTAAAGTATAAGATTTCACAACCAATATGATCACCGCTTAAACGAATCTAATTACTAATATGTTAATTATAAGAAAAATACAAGCAATAAAACCTTCATAGATTACACTACAGATTTCCACAGCAATCTGGGATAAAGATCGGAACACATTGCAAGATAATGTTAATGCAAGCCAGTCGAGTCATTTATTCATGCACTGCATTTTGAAAAAAAACCAAAAGGCGAAACGAAATAAAATACAACTTGGAAAATAAGCATCACCTTGTGTCGTAAAACAGAACCTGAAGATTACTCATAATGCCCTTCATGAAGCAACGGTAAAATAAGTGAAGAATTGGAAGATGAACACAGAAGACGCAAAGGTCTAACTGTACCCTCTTATTCAGTGCTTAAAGATGAATCGAAAGCATAAGTTAAAGAAATCGTTTCTCCACTTCCTGCAAAAAACTGGTACCATATGAAATCAGTGACTTTGTGTTCAACATTAGCAGTAATCGAGAACGAACTCTGCATAAATTTTTGTGCTAAAAAACTACGGCCACACGACCTAGGCGTATAAAGGATAATAAGGAGAGAGCTCTTTGCTTCGATCAATCCCTAAGGAACGCGCCATGTATACGATTTTATCAAGCGTCCATTATAGGCGATTGCATGCATATCTGACCCACACAGTGACTAGCGCTAGCCTACTAGTGTACCAGCTGAGGGCTGTTTTCCTTCCAGACAAGTCTGGTACCAATTTTCCGACCATTAAGGACGGAAGGTTTAGGTTCCCGAAGCGTGGGGGATAGAACCAAAGACCACGTTTGTATTGCAGGGCACCTCTAATCATTACGCAAGATGAACCCTTTAACCTAGGTGTTTGGACACCGAAGAGTCACATGTAGCGCAGTGGTTGGAGGCGCTCTGCAATGCACATGGGACCGATTCTGCACCCAGGCCCACTAGGCCTTCCATCCCTCCGGAGTCGACAAATTGGTACCGGACCTGTCTGAGAGGATGGCAGCACTAGTTCGATACATCGGTAGGCCACCGCGAGTCATGTATACGCCAGATATGCATTCAGTCACCTCCAACGATGTTTAACGAAGTCGAATGTATGGTGAATCCTTCAGGGATTGATCAAAGCCGATAGCTTTTTTTAAAGGCTTAAGCACACCAAATATATATATATATGAAATATAGCAAATAGGCACCTATCAGCACTCCTCTCTCGCACTGCAAGCATGTTCCTCCAAGAAGTTGTATGCACAAATTATGAGCGACTGCTTTGCATTCTCCCACATTACAACAACTCCAATTATTTTCAATAATCATCATCCCATCTAACTCGGGCACCGTAACATTACCGCAAAGACAACACGGTTGAATTTCATCACCTTTCACTTTAATAGTAGTTTCGTCTTTATCCGTCTCTGCTTCTATCTCCTAAAAAGTAAATATTTCCCTAGATGGATATCAACTACTCTCTCACATAGCGAGGAATCTCCTACAAATTTCAGCTCTGTAGACTTACTAAGAACAATAATTTCTAAGCCACTTAAATATTCACTTAAAACACACAGATGTTAACATGTAGATATACTTTTGAGCCTACTACTCGGGTAACGTTTTTTCCTGTTTTTCTAACATAGATATTGTAGAATTCTGCAGGCTCAAGAACTACCGAACATGGCACAGTTCGTAAACTCCGTACGCTTGTATTATCCAGTCGGAAAAAAACTACAAAATAATTTTGGTATTTGAAACATATCGGTTTAAGAATAGTATCTCTCACCTTCTTAACGACATCTGCAGAAACACCACAATCTGATTGATGGCCAAGATGTCCAAAAAAACCTATGCAATCCAAAACACCTTCCTCATTCTCTATAACCTAGTGCAAAAGAACAGTTAAAAAAGTTCTTGTGTAGGACAAACGTCTGGTCTATCTAACTATGGAAAGATATACCGTCACAAATGCAGAACAATCGATGACCTTCTCATCATTTTCCTCAATATCTGATCCCTTTGCTATTGCTGAGAAATGACAATTATAAGAATGAATCAGTTTTCTCCCGCATGCCTGCACAGTAGTTTTGATGAGCATCGTATTCGTGGTACTCTCGATCTGTTCAAGCCACTGCTAAAAACAATCCTGTTTTGGTATCAGAATGACAGGGAATCGTTGGACTAAATCAAAACAAAAAGGAAGAAGACGATATGAGGTTCAAACTGAAAACTGAATTTTAACCAAATTATTTTATTCTCTATGAAAAGTTTGTTCCACTGTAGAAGAGTGTCATCAGTAACAGTTCATTTAGTCAATGGTCATTTAGTGATTACCTCAAATTTCTCCCAGTTGCTGAATGTTGTTTGTACGAGTAACGAACGATCTACATAATTACTATGTGCATTGACTGAATGTACGGCCAATAGATAATTCGTCTTGAATGTCATCTTACATTCCGAACAGGTTACGAACGAAGGTGTGCTGCATTGTTTAGAACAAGAATTTGCATAAAAATCGGGGTGATATGTCTGAAATAGAAGTATAATTTTAACAGAAAACGGCTATAACTAAAGCTATTAGGAAATACGGAACAAGGATCGAACAATAAAACGAATTTTAACAACTTCACAATAGCAATGAGAGCGTGTGGCGCAGTAGTCGGAGGCGCCCTGCAATGCACATAGGATCGATCCTCCTCCAAGACCCACCAAGACCCCCATCCCTCCAGGGTCGGCAGTTGATACCAGACTTGTCTGGGAGGATGACAGCACCAGCTAGATACATCTATAGGCCACCGCGAGTGATTGTAAAAATCAAGTCGTATGCATGGTGCATGGCGGCCTAAGGGATTGATCAACGCCGTGGGTTTAATTAAGCTTAAACAACGGTAACACAACGCTAAACGATCATTAAAGGCTGAATAAAGTTTTACCTTAACGTGTGTGTCCAAAACTGATTCGGTAAAGCAAAGAAATTGACACTCTTTGCAAGAGTAGTATATGTTATCCCATTTCCTTCCGTTCTTGCCACTGCCGTTTGCCGTTATTGCCGCATTTGCTATTTTTGCCACACGCCCATGAATTTCCCCTATGTGCTTCCGTAACTGCTGAATGGGCATCGGCCCCTCGTCACATTCCGGACATGTATAATTCTTCTTCTGAGTTCCAAAAACTAAAGATAAACTTAAAGTGGTAACATAATGCTTTCATGTATGCAAACCAACCTCGTTCATGGATATATTTGCTGTCAAAAAGTAGCCTAAAAACGTATACATTAGTCCAACCTTTCGCGAAGAAGTTATTAATAATTCAATAACAAAATTACGTACGCCAAGTCAGCATCGGTCACAAAGTGCATTCTAGACATAACGCCATATCTCTTTCGTACTTTCTTGAAGATTTCAGGAGCACTAAGTCCTTCTGGAAAAAAAAATCAATATATGTAATGTATGAAAACAAAACTACTAGTCCCAAATAGCAGATGAAAAACAGTGCATGATATATTCCAAAACCGACTTTCCTTGAACCTCGGCATCACTAATCAATATGTATTCTTTCTTTGATGAGCTTACACGAGGTTGATAATGATATTTATTTTCGGCTAACGTTTCGACGTCTTCGCCTTCCTCAGAGCCGATGATCCGAGTGGACCATCGACTCGGATCATCTGCTCTGAGGAAGACGAAAACGTCGAAACGTTAGCCGAAAATAAATATCATTATCAATCTCGTGTAAGCTCATCAAAGAAAGATTACATACTGATGAGTGCATGATATAGCCCACATTATTCCCAATTGCTTTCGCATGTTAGTAACAAATAGATTTTATTTTACCAAACTCTCCCAACGGCTTACACCCTCACTGCTGCTGGGAGGTGTTCCTGGGTGTCGGGCTGTAATGTACAGCGGAGGATTCCTCTCCTCAGCAAAGCCTCCCAGGCTAAGAAGGAATCCAGTGTTTCCACCAAGAAGCCCAGCTAAGAGTAAACCAGTACCAGGATCCACCACCACCGTCCTGGTATCAAACTAATCGCATGGTGGCAAATCTCAAAGGCTGCGAATGCCTGTGGTGGCGACGACCTGTGGCAGACTTTGGCCAGCTGTCGAGACTCCAGGGAACCACAGTGGCTAAAACAACCGAACTCCGGAGAATGAAACTTATGCTGGGACCCGCACAACCAGTGAAGATTACCATTCAAGTAAGCAACGAAGTATTTTACCAAACAAGATAAAAAAAAGAAGAAAAAAACAACAGAGTTTGTAAACAGACAACTCGCCTGATATAAGCTCACGAAGTTCGTCTTTTTGTTTCTCGCTAAGCAGCAACTTTCTCGGATCTTTCTCATGCCCAAGATGCTCAGTACACGCGATGACTTCCACAGTACCATCTTTCCTTATCCAACACTGCGTTTCAGAAGTTATCACATTCTTCGTTCACTCATGAGAATTCACTTACCTTCATGAAAGCTGTACAATGTGTCTTGGGTGAAATAACGTCAGTGGAAGGCTTCGACGGAATGATAGAGCCAGCGCGATGGCATTCGAACTCTGTGGTATGGCGATCATTACTGCGTCTGATTCGGAACGAAGTACATGTCCGTTCTTCAATATCTGCTTTCCAGTCCTGAATAAGCATATTGTGTAACTAACACATAAATTTCCTTTCTATATTAATTTCCCAGTTAATTCAATCTCCTCCCAACGGTTTACCGCCTCATCGTGGCTGGGAGATGTTCTTTGGTATTGGGCTACGATGCATAACAAGAGGATTCATCACCCGGAAGGGTCCCACTAGCTGACAATGAGTCCGGCGTCTCCATCAAGAACCCTATCTAAGAGTAAACCAATATCAGGATTCGTCACCGTCCTGGTACCAAACTAGTCGCATGGTGGCAAATCTCCCTTTGATACACAAGGTCGGCGACTGCCTGTGCTCAAGTGACGACTCGGGGCAGACGTTGACCTGTCTGACTTCGGGGCTCCAGGGAACCACAATGGCTTAACCAGTAAAACGCCGAAAAAATGGAAATCATGCTGGGCCTCATAACCAGTGAGGACCGGTCATTCAAGTATCCAAGTAAGTAATACATAATTTATAGTGAGTACTAGTTTCCACGGGTCCCGAAAATAGTCTTCCAGTTTTAAACAACGAAATCTCAGCTCTCTGCGAAAAAATCGTTAGAAACTAAGATTATCACCTGTCACTCAATAACGACAATCTTCTCATTCAAAGCGATTGAAAAACCGGGATTTCCTAGAACACGATGCGAAGGTAACCGCAAATGAGTGCTTTGTGATTGCAGAAACCATTTTGAACCAAAAAATTGGAGGAAAAATTAGTGAGCCGAACAATTGAAACACACGTTAAAATATTAAAATTTTAAAGTAGATGAAATCCGAATATTTCAAAAATGACCATTGCTATCTAAACAGTGACAGTGTAAAGCAAATTTCACCTCACCTAACAGCCTATTGAATTCCCAACTCTTTAAGTGAAATTATGCAAGATTATTGTTAAGCTGAGCAATCTAAACAGGCACTGATTACACCGAAACCTAGAGCACGTGTGGCGCAGTGGTCGGAGGCGCCCTGCGACACACACGTAGAATCGATCCCCGCGCCTTTGGCCCACCACCTCTGGGAGGATAACAGCACTGGTTGGATAGATCGGCTGGTTACCGCGAGTCATTGTAAAGGCCAGATATGCATTCAATCACCTCTAACGATGCTTAACAAACTTGAATGCATGGCGCATCCCTCAAGGATTGATCAACGGTGAGAGCTTCAAAGTTCTATCGGAAGCTATCGAAATCACGCATACTGTGAGTTGAAAAAGGGAGCGTTTTCCACACGGTGCAGCTAAAGAATCATCGAACAAAACAACATTTGTCTTAGAAAATCTTCGCTTAAGAACAGTTACTGAAGTCCTTCGAACTTGTACAAAAGTTGGTTTCGTTTGTTGAATCCGTATCCATACAAAACGTTTTGAAATTCTCAGAAAGATGCCATGACTATCATCATTTCGCAATCACCTTCTTAATAATATTCCATTTAGTTTGTTGACAAAAAATTTTGACAGTCGTGAGAAGGAAGATTAGTGCTTGAGGACAATTGAGGCAAAATGTTTAAAAAACATCAAAAAATAGCACTAACAGTAACTTCGTTTAAGGAAAAACTTTGAAAAAAGCACTTTCTCCTACTTGTACTTCCCAGAAATGTTCCTAAAAATGCACAACTTACCAGTAACTCTTGCATATCCTGGAATGACTCGTTGATGATTTCGAACCGATGGTGAGATCCAGCAGAATGGCTGATAGCACAGTGACTTACGAAGTCTTCAGATGTCGCGAAGCTCTGCTCACATTCAGCAAATGCGCATTCGAATTCGTTCTCTGTTGAAGGTTCTATGGGACTATGCACTCCTATTTGATGAGAGCTAAGTTTCCGTTTCGTCTGAAAACTCTCCAAACACACATCACATTTAAATGGGTAAACTGATGCCAGTGTGGCTCGATCCTTAGCAAGAAATCCCAATATGATTCTGCGTTCTTCTATGGTATACTTATGCACAAACTCCAGATGTTCTCCAATATACTTTACTTCCACTGACTTCACGCATTCTGGGCAGCTTATGAGACTGGAAGATCCCATGAGGGATTTGTGATTTGAGAGTCTGAAATGAGGATTAAATACAACAAATAATAAGAAGTATTCAACAGAACACGGAAGCACGTATTAATCCTTTGACGGCCATGAGCATTGTTCCGATATGTACGCAGCGCTGATGTACGTTCCGGACCGTACATCCTGATTTCAATGCGCGCACTATTTCTTCCGGCCTGCTTCACTGTGCAGAGCTTCAGTAACTTCTCGAACACAGCTTTTACACTGGGCCCATGGATAGGTGCGTTATACTTGCATAAAGCGGTTTCAGACCTTGGAATGGATTTATTGGGGATGAAAAACACAAGAGAGTCAAAGAAGCATAGTTGAAATATCGTGGGAAAATATGAGAAAAGTTTATAGTACCATGGTTAGATAATGGAGTGTTTTGTTTTATCACTCAGAGTTAAATTACACCCAAGAGGCGTCCAAGAACATATGGGCATACAAAGAAGAACACAGCGAAAACGTTGAAGTCAGAAAGACATGGGAAAAATGTGAGAGAACCCAATAATAGAACGACAACTTCAAGAAACCAATGCGTCGTGCCTTCTGAGAGGGCTCGCAGCCGTAACGTCTTGATTTCAATGCGCACTGCGATCGCGCCCCAATGAAATCAGATGGTCCTGAGATGCGAAAATGGCCAAAGGTCGTGAAAGGGTTTAGAAGTGTAAATTAGCAACACTTTACGAATTTAGACAGTTATTAGGTTTTAAGATCACATATAATGATGCTTTAGTTGAGGAATGGTTTAGAGACACTAGTTATACCGCGATCGTCGTGTTACAAGAATGAAACAACTCCGTGATAGTATAACACGAAAGGCTAGGTAAACCAACTGCAATTACTGTAATATGGGAGGTTTTTCTCACAAATATTACCTTAATGTTTTTCAATGATATCAAGAATTGTAGAGGGCGCTTGTAGCACAGTGGTAAGAGGTGCTCTAGAACACGCGCGGACTGTTTTGTTCGACCTCGCGCCCGTGGATCACCGAGCCTTCCATCAAATTGATACCAGAATTATCTAGGAGAATAGCAGCACTGGCTCGATATATTGGCAGGCTACCGCGAGTGATTGTACAGGCCAGATATGCATTCAATCACCTCCAACGATTCTACGAATGGAATGGAATGCATAGCGCGTTCCTCAAGGATTGATCAACACCGAAAGTTTTATGTTTTACTTTGTCTTATCAAGGATTCTACATAAGTACACTTCAGAAACGACAGAAAATGAGAAGGACGAAAAAAATGAAAGCTGAGATCAGCATATCAGCAAAACTATTGCCTACAAAGCAAACTATCTTGAAATAACCAAAAAATTATCGAAAGGGCTTAATAGAATAGCAAAAAGCACAGCCTTTTAGATTAGTTATTTCAGATGTTCCCTGGAGCAGACTTTCGCCAGGCTGACCACGGGACTCAAGGGAACTACGGTGGCTAAACAAGCAAAACTCCAAAAAAAACAGAAGTTATGCTGGGGCCCTGCACAACCAGCCTCAACGGGCCATCGAAGTATCCAAGTAATTAGTGTTACAAATGTTCAAACCCTCTACAGCAGTGAATTTCTAAGCAGAGAAGAGGTTAACAAAAGATAAAGCATAAATATGTATTCTTTCTTTGATGAGCTTACACGAGGTTGTTAATGATGTTTATTTCCGGCTAACGTTTCGACGTCTTCGTCTTCCTCAGAGCCGATGATCCGAGTCGATGGTCCATCAACAAACATCATCAAAGAAAGAATACATATTGATTAGTGATACCGAGGTTCAAGGAAAGTCGGTTTCGAAATATAAAGCATAAAGTCAATCCCTGAAGGATTTACGATGTAGCTGAACTTCATTGGGCATTGTCGAGGTTAATGAATGCATATCTGTGATATATGATAACTTGTGAGTGACATGCCAATGTAACAGTTCTGTATTGCCATTCTCTCAAACAAGTCCTGTAGCAGTTTGTCGATCCCAGACGGGTACAAGACTTCATGCGCCAGGGTCGAAGCAGAAACGGATTGAGTTTGCATCGCACGGCCGTTCTAACTACTGCGACAAACGTACCCAGTCTGAAGCTGTTGTTAGGTGACTAAATTAGTTACTGAAACTATGATTTAATGTCTTAAACCCGTCTTTTCTCAAGCATCTGCACAAATTGTCAACTCCTTGACTTAATGAGCCCACACAAGGTTGATAAAAGGTTGCTGCGATAACGAACATCCACATCGCGAGGACCACCACCTGTGGATCATCGGCTGGGATCAATCAGGATGTCGTTGAAACGTTAGCCGAATAAACGTTTGGCAACAAACTCGTATCAGCTTCATATCACAAAAAGATATAACTGCATATGTTCCAATCATAAAAACTACTTAAAGCCTCAAAAAAAGAGCAGTATACGACCACGCCCATAGCCCAGCTCCTCCAGGTACTCTGGGCATGATCAAACACGCCCTACTCATAATTTTAACAACGGATTAGGGGAATACTGCTGAATCCTAACCTTGAACACAGCCAGTTCGCATTCTGATTCGATGCCAATCCAGAAGAAAGTCATGCACTTCTATGGATTTTCTTTCTCTACAAGAAAAGTACATACATCTACCTAAGACTTGGCCCTTATTATTATTGGAAACATTTCCAATATTCCCATCGATAGCCATGTCGGGGATTCCCGGAAAATCGTTATTTTAAAGGGCTCACATATGCGCCAATCGAGATTACTGTATAGGAACGTCACTTACTTACTTGGCCTTGTAACAGTTGGACCTCCGTCCATTTCATTTTAGCATGTGTTTTTTTTTCCTGCTCTTGAACAGTGAAATATTTGCTAAGTGTTTTGGTAAATAACAAAGGGAAAGAGTAAAGCTGTAGGCGTTGATCAAGCTCTTACGGATGGCCATGCATTTTCAACTTCATTAGGCATCGTTAGAGGCGATTGAATGCGTATTTTGCCTTTACAGTGACTCGTAGTGTCCTACCTATGTGTAGAGCCAGTGCTGCTATCCTTCCAAACAAGTCTGGTAGCAATTTGCTGATCCCTCAGGGATGGAGGGCTTGGTGGGCTTGTAAGACGAGGGTCGATTCCATGTGTATTGCAGGGGCCTCCGACCAGTGCACCACATGCGACCCTGGTGTTTTGGTAAGATAAGTAGACCTGTAAGTTTTAAGATGCAGGGGATTCCTGTTGTGGGAATAGTGTCCATAAGTTGATATTCCCAACACATTTAGTTGTTAATTTTATCAGTTTCATGCTTGCTTAACAATCAAAGGAGATGTTCATTATTTTTGCCAAGGTTTAGTGGAGGTCGGTTCTGAAACATTTAATAATAATTCCCAGAAGCGACAATCTATTGACCTCGGTGCTGATCAACAAATCAATATTCTGGAATTTCCTCCGTATATTTGAACCGTTGAATACATTTGGAATATTAAATATGGTTTCACATGGTGACGACCATTTATGATCCTTCAGAAAATGAAATGGCAGTGCGCAACGATGTGAACAAAGAAGCATCGATGTGGTGGAACACAGCCCGTAATGACAAAGCATGGTGGCATTCCATTGCCAGAACTGTCCTGAAGTCGGGACCGGTATGTTTCTATTCCAAATGTTCTTTATGATTGCATGATAATGAAGTTGTTCTTATCGTTGTAAAACTGCCTCATAAGGGAGAACAATATGATAAAGGATACAAGGCAAAGGATAAAGCTGTCGGCCAATCCCTCAGGGATGCGCCATACATTCGACTTCACTAAGCATCGTTTGGAGATGACTGAATGCACATCTGACCTTTACAATGACTGACGGTGGCCTATGTATGGAACCAGTGCTGCTATCCTCCCAGACTAGACCGGTATCAATCTGCCGACCCTAACGCATGGAAGGCTTGGTGAACCTGCGGCGGAAGATCGATCACATCTGTATTGGACAACGCCTTTGACCACTGCACCAAACACCCCTTATCAATATGATGTGATATGATAACAATATGATAGCGCTGTTTTATGTATGTGTGGCATAACTGATACGTTGTCCAATTGTTTACCGCATCATCATGGGTCGGAGAGATTTCTTGTGTCGAAATGCGATGTGTATTGGATGTAATTCTCCAACTGAGTCAGCAAAGCTGATAATACGTTCAAAATTTTTACCTAGAGGCCCAACTAAGAGTTCAAATCTACGCCAGGACAGCGCCCGGTGAATTGCCCATGCCCTTGTCGTCAACAAAACCAGTAAGGAAGCGCTGTACTAATGTAGCTATTAGCTATACTAATTTCGGGACGGTTCGTGTTTTTCTGTGTCACCTTGAGTTACTGAATGGTCTATAACGCTTAGTAATAGAACTCGGGTTGGTAATAGTCAAAATTTTCGTGAGATTTTATTTGGTTTTTTAAGGAATTCCTCTTCGATGGGGATATGCCAAGGTGGCGGTGATAGTTTCTCAATTAAGCATTCATTTTTTGGCGTTAATTTGTCAATGAATCAAGTAATATTCAACATGCTGATAAAGTGAGGAACTTTTCTATTCAAAAACGTGTCTTTTCCTTTCAGGTTTTTTTTAGATCAGTAATATTNTCGTGAGATTTTATTTGGTTTTTTAAGGAATTCCTCTTCGATGGGGATATGCCAAGGTGGCGGTGATAGTTTCTCAGTTAAGCATTCATTTTTTGGCGTTAATTTGTCAATGAATTAAGTAATATTCAACATGCTGATAAAGTGAGGAACTTTTCTATTCAAAAACGTGTCTTTTCCTTTCAGGTTTTTTTTAGATCAGTAATATTCCGATACATGAGAATCCGTAAATGTTTATGCTTCAGGTTCCGTATCACGTTGCATTTATCATGGATGGAAATAGACGGTTTGCCAAAACAAAACATCTCAGTCACGCTATTCACGGTCATGAGAAGGGATTTCAGCAACTTGCAAAGGTACAGCAGAAGTTGTTTCATTTATTACAATTCTCATGGGATGGGACATCCAATGGCTTACCGCCTCAGTGTGGCGGAGAGGTTCTCCTGGGTGTCGGACAACGATGTACAGCGGGAGGATCCATATCCCCGGCAAGGTCTCCCAAACAGAGAAGGAGTTCGGCGTTTCCATCAGGAAGTCCATCTAAGAGGAAACTATTACCAGGATCCACCACCGTCCTGGTATCAAACTAGTCGCACGGTGGTAAATCTCCTGATCCACAAAGGCGGCAACTGTCTGTGATGGTGACGACCCGTGGTAGACTTTGGCCAGGCTGTCCTCGGACTCCAGGAAGCCACAATGGCTAAACCAGCAAATCTCCGGAGAATGGAGACTATGCAGCGGTCTGCACAACCAATGAAGACGGGTCACCCAAGTATCCAAATAAGTAGAGATGGGTGTCTTTACTGATTTTTGTCGTGTTTCCGTCTTCAAGCTAAAAGGGATGATGCTTGTTGCCGTTGTGCCTACTCAGCGATAACCTGTTGACACGGTGTACCTCATAGTCATACTGCTGCATGTAAACTACACAGATCCAGACACGAATGTCCCGATTCGAACTAGTCGAAGTATGGGATGTTAAGCCGATTCTCTCCTCTGACTTGTAAATAGTGATGTTCGGACATATTTAAAGCTTCCTGCGCAAAGTATTCGTTAAGACTGATCGGCTCTTCAAAACGAGGCGAATTTTCAGAGCCTCTGTTCTCCACATTGAATCGTTTAAACCAGAACTATGCCATCATAGTGTACCCATCAGCAGTGTTGATCTTCTAAACCGTTTTCGATGCGATGGTACTGAGCAGGTTTTCATAGAGAACTACGCCACAGATTTGTCAAGTTGATGTTACTTTACTTTACTTACTGCTTTTCTGCTCTTACACCACACCCTTTGCATAGGATGTTCTAGAACATATTCCAAAACTGCACGCTTCAACAAAATACAAGCCACTTTTAATGCGAAAAACTGAACAAAAGCCGTCAACGATATGTGTTTTAACCTAATACTTATACAAATGGCCTTTGCAGGTTTTAGAGTGGTGTTACGATTTGGGCGTGCGTGAAGTAACTGTGTATGCATTTAGCATCGAAAATTTCAAAAGAAGTCCAGACGAAGTAGGCGGTCTAATGAAACTCGCTGAAGAGAAGTTTGCTAGACTTCTGGAGGAAAAGTAAATACATATTCAGAAACCATTATTAATTCTTGACAATAGATGGCCACATCTTCGATTTAAGAATCTGCAATTTTATATGCTCATTCCAATTTAGGGAGAAGCTCGAAGAGAAACAGATATCATTCCGGTTCTTCGGTAATATCGCGATGCTATCTCCAAGACTTCGAAAACTGATAGCACAGATTGAGCTGAAGACAAAGGACTACGACAAGTGTGCAGCTACTTTGAACTCTTACTTTTCGTTTCTATTATTTCCTATTGTAGTGGGATTGTGAATGTATGTATGCCTTACACGGCGAGAGATGAGATCGCACGTGCTTTCGAATTGGTTAGGATTGGCAAAGAGAAGGTACTTTTCCAATACATCCAATACATACATTTCCAATTTACATTCGTTGTTTTCTTGCACTGCTTGTTATGTTTATTTCCCAACATAAACCGGTATTTTAGTAAATCCTCGGTTCTTGTCTCTAATATCTAGTGCCTTAATATTAAATCGTTGGTGTATTTCTGTTGCTATTTCCCCGACCCAGTCTGCTTGCTGTCTGTCGTCTACAAACTTTTTACTCGAGTCATCATAAATAGTATTGACAGAACACTGGGTGAAGGACAACCATGTGAGCAAGCAGGGTTTCGAGAAAGATTTAGTACGATGGGCCACGTGCACACGATAGCAAGACTCATTGATGTATCGCCAGAGTACAAAAGACCGCTCTGTCTCACTTTCATCGATTTACAGAAGGCTTTTGATTCAGTTGAGATAGAAGGAATCTTAGAAGCTCTTGATATTCAAGGAGTCTCTACTCAGTACATAAAGATTCTTCGTGAACTGTACAAAAACTTCACAACCAAGATATCACCATTCTACAACGATATTAACACCGACATCAAAAGATGAGTTAGGCAAGGCGATACCATCTCGCCAAAATTATTTACCGCCACCCTCGAGAACATCATGCGAACATTGGAATGTGATAACATGGGAGTGAAAATCGATGGTCGGCAATTGCACCATCTTGGCTTTGCTGTTGACATCGCCCTTGTAACACCAAACGGATGAAAGATCACTCAGCGTTATTGAACGCGCAGTTGAAAGGACGATGTTAGGAGTATCCCGTTTCACACAGGTAAGGGATAAGATCCGAAGCTCCGACCTACGTCAACGATCAAAAATCAGAGATGCCGTTATCTACGCCAAACAGTCGAAGGTGGGCCAGACACGTAATGCGTATGAATGACAACCGATGGACAAGAGCCGTTAGTGACTGGATTCCTCGGGATGTCAAACACTGCAGGAAGACCATCGACTCGATGGTCTTAGTTCTTTACGAAAAGCCTAGAAGAAGGATATGATACTCATCGAGTCCTTAGAGCGAGTAGAACCCACTGGTCTACTCTTGCACGCGACAGGGAAATATGGAAGATTTACTGGCGCCCGCTCGAGTCACTCAACGATCTGCGAAACTACAGGTGATGCAGGTGGAAGATGATTTCTCCGATCAACGGGCACGTGTGACGCAGTGGTCGGAGACGCCCTGCAATATACCTGGGATCGATTAATGCGCCCTTGGCCTACCAAGCCTTCTACACGCCTGGGCTCGCCAAGGTCGCAGCAATGACTCGATACATTCGGTAGTTCACCGCAAGTCATTGTTAAGGCAAGATATGCATTTAGTCACCTCCAACGGCGATTAATCAGGTCGAGTGCGTGGCGCATCTCTCATGAATTGATCAATGCTGAGAGCTTTATCCTTTATCATTTTATTTCTCCGACCTAGGATGAAAGGATGAAAAGCACTAAATCATGATAGCTAGCTGAGAAAAGTTGTAGTTCAGTAAAAAGTACGTTAGTCTCTTTGTACTATCATATGTGTTAAATATCACCGGCTACAACTTCGTTATGACTACTTATCTACATAGAACTTTAGGGATTACTGGAGGAGAATCAAATATCTGAATGGCTGCTGTCTCGTTGCTTAGACAGTCGACAAGGGACAGAACCAAGCATCCTTATTCGCACTAGTGGGGAGAAAAGATTAAGTGACTTCTTGCTTTGGCAGGTAGCATAATTTCCTCTTCGTGATATATAATTCACTATTTTTTTCTAACATAACTTCATTACAGTGTTCTTGTAGTCATATTTACTTTGACGATGTTTTGTGGCCTGAGTTCAATTATTCGCATCTGTGCAAAGCTATTATATCGTATCAATACCATGGAAGTGCTCTGCAGGTGGTTTTCTAGTCTTAGTTGCCAAGATTTTCCTTGTACAATACACTAAAAGCGTATTTGTTAAGCAAATACGACGCAGTCAAGAAACACCGGAACCTTCAGAAGAAGAACGTCTAGCTCTACAGCCTTTTCTTGATTACGTTGATAGGTTGCATAGAATGACCTTGCAAAAATATGCATCACAAGAATTGAAAGTTTTCGAATAGATATGTAATATTAACTAAATTATTACTTTCTATGTGTAAAGAGAATCAAAACAACTATATGATGGGGAGTAATGCAAGACGTGTCTACTACTCCGAGTGATATAGCCTTGGTTTTCTATTACGGTTGGAATTTTGTTCATAACTTTGTTAATCTCTCATACCAGCGTATGTAATGAAAGTTGGATAAATTTTTGCACCACTTTTGTATTCCATAATTTCATGTCATAATATGTAATGTTACTTTTGTAAGATATTTGCTCGGAAAAGAAAAATGCACATAGTCTTTAAAAACTCCAGAAATTACCCCAAATTGGGCAAAATGAATTTTAAGGAACTAGAATGTCTTCATAATTTAATAATTTTATAGTTTTTTTTTACATCCTGCGGAGATTTTTATTTAACACAATCTGCATATACCATCATAACCGGTCATAATTTTACACTTTACGCTGGGTACGTGCCTCACCGTAGCTCAAAAGACAATACGTCTGCTTCCAATACAGTAGTAAATTTGCATAAATGATACAAATCTACTTGTTCGATGAAGTTGCTTGCGCAGGACGTCTACCTGAGCGCGACGTTTTCGTTCTTATAGACGTCGTACAGTCCTGTGCGTTCACATTCATTGATAGCGACTCTTCAAGAGCTTTGCGAGCTGCCGTCAGATCTGCTTCACTCTGCTGTATTCGTTTTCGATCGGCCATAGCTTGTGCATCTCGCCTAAGAAATCATTCCATATAAGACGGTATGCAATTGTCTACAAACACGCTAATGAATCCTGGGGAAAAGTGGCGTGAGAAAGCTATGTAAGCAGTAATATTAGACCCAATGCATAAGTAACCTTTCGTTTCCACCTAGATTACATTATCTTGTATCACCTTCGTCACCGGTAGTCTCACAATTCATCGAATATCACGAATGAGCAATAATGAAAGTCTTCATCGGTGTAACACCTACTAGAACTTCTCTCAGTGAGTTTTGCTTGTTCAACGAACATGAATGCCACTGTTTCAGTATGGAATTCTCCATTTTAGCTGCACTTGGTGAGAAGTTAGCAACTGATAAGTCTGGATAGAAATGTCGAATTCTTAAACAGATTTGATCCTAGTGGGAAACAAACTTCTTCTTTACATTGTATTTGAACACCTAACAGCACCTCTATTGATCGAAATTCCTTTTTTTGCACATTCGCAACGATACCTCATATATGGTTCCTTTCCTGCCCAAAAATTTAAAACATTACATATCTAGATATACTTGGGACATAGCAAAGGTTATCAGTTTAAATATGAACCATTACAGTTTGCTTCTATTATCCTATCACGATGAAATTGTGGTAATCTGAAACCTAAAAGTCGTCTCTTCTGAGGCTCACGTGCAGCGCAGCGATTTAATAGGCGCGATTTCGTTTACCTCATAGTGATGTTTATTACTATAGTAGTAGTGGTAGTATAGTAGAATCTTTAAACATTGAGTTTGTTTTCAAGTCTTTTTAAGTCCTTAAACTTTATAAAAATTTGAAATGGAAATATTTTGAGAATAGTAGTTATTTCCTTATTACAAAAACTAAGAATTTCAAGAACACTGGAATCTTTGGAGCGGTGTGGCAAAAGTTTTTCTATAAGTCCTTTAAGCTCTAGACTCCTCATGTACAAGTACTTTAGTTCAAGAAAAATTGTCGCACCTGTTGAAAAGCTAGCATCGTTGCGAATGTGCTGGTCACAAAAGCTGGACTTAAACCTTCAAAAGAACGGAACAACGGAAAACGGTAATGATGTCTAAGAGGACGAGAATTGTTCAAACTATAAACCGCAGTGGAAAACAAATGTCGATAAATTGCTTAACATTAACCATGTTAGTAAAGAACTTCGTCTCCTTGCCTCTTCGCCTTATTCAAAATTATTGAAGAAAGAGAAGTTTTATGAAGCTTGGCACGCAGAAAACGAAGTGGTTAAAGCTACCCTTCAATAACAGATACAAAGGCAGTGGTCCGATCTCGCCCCAGGCAATTCCACGTCTTCAATCTTTGCGAGGTAGCGGAATCAGAATTCTTTTGGGAAAAGTTCCATTGAATGCCCAAAGTATGGTAACTTTCTGTGGTAAAGATCTCGAAATTCCCTACCACAACTATGTACGGATCTTATGAAGAACCTACACGACCAGCATTTAACAACATTCATAAAACATTCATGAAGACCAAAATCCTCAAGTAGCAGCTGACACACACGCAAATCCAAAGACTTCTGTGGATGATGGATGCGGGAAAACGAATAGAATGAAAAGGAAAGAATTTCTCGGATCCAATAAGAAGAAAACGAAGCTTACTTGTCTGCATCTTCCAAAGCTTTAAGGCGAACATCTGCAACAGAATTTTTGAACTCGTTTAAAACAGCAACAATTCCAGGAATGGCGTGTACTGGAGTATCACGAGACGCCCAATCGTCCACCTAAACAAAGCTCTTTCCTCCAAATGTCTAGCTTCAGGAGAAAGAAAGTTACTTCACCTCTATAAATTGTCCTTTTGAGTCAAGTCTTGCCTTAAATAGCTTGTTGTAAATGGCATCAATCGCAATATCCTCCAACTCACGAACGGAATCAATACAAAGTCTGTAAAATCATTTCAAATGTTTGGAAACCTATAACTGAAGAAGAACAGGTGACAAGTTGAGAGGTGAGATCACGTATACGTAAATATAAGTCGAAATTTTGCTTTATTTTACAAGATTTTATTTTTTTCGGTCAAATTTACTCGGTTTTCGACATCTAAAAAATAACAAAGCAAATGCAAAAGTAGCCAAATATTGTTCACAGAAACTGCACAATGCACAATATCCAAGCCAAGATAAATTGGAGTAATAAAATTGCGTAATCGGAATCGTTGGGATAAGTAACCCTAAGATTAAAACGAAACTAGTGGCACAAATTTTTGCGACTAGTACAACAAAATTCAACATATGTGTACAACTTTCCCATAGTTATTCAACTCGTTTGACTCCACATACCCAATAAATTCTAAATGGTATAAAATAAACGACAGTACCACTCACGATTGCATAACATCAGTATAAGGAAGCTGCCTGTTTGATGTACTGCTACCCGCTAAACTAATGAGTGATAGTTGACGCAATTTTCTTAAAGCGGCCGGTGGAAGCTCCACCTATAAGAAAAGCATGTACTCAAAACAGAAGAAGGAAATGTTTCGCACATTGTGTCTTCAGGCCGAAACAATATGAGAGCTCTTTCTATTATTACTGGTAGAAACCTTGCTCACTCCTCCCAACGGTCTGCCGCCTCGTAGCTGGGAAGTATTCCTGGGTGTCGGGTTGCGATGTACTGCGGGAGATTTATCACCCTAGTAGGGTCTCCAAAGCTGAGAAGTCCGGCGTTTCCACCAGGAACCCCAGCTAAGAGTAAACCAATAGTAAAATCAATCATCGTCCTGGTATCAAACTAGTGGCTTGGTGGCAAATCTCCGTCTGATCCATAAGCGCAGCTACTGCCTGTGGTGGTGACGACCTGGGGCAGACTTTGGCTAGGCTGTCCTCGGACTCCGGGGACCCACAATGCCTAAACCAGCAAGTGCCCGAAAAATGGAGATTATGCAAGGGCCGTAGAACCAGTGAAGATGGGCAATCCAAGTATCCAAGTAACCTTACTAACTAAGGTGATGTTTTCGTAAAATGCCAATGAGTTCACTATACACAACTAGCATCCGTACAATATAAATTTCTTATATGCAACAGCTCTAAAAAACATTTCTGTATTAGTTCGATAGTTTACTACAAAATCCTTTAAACGAAACTTTGGCAGAAGTTCAGACAGACCTCTTTTGGAAGGTCATTTAGAGTACCGTATGAGAAGACTTCAAGCGTCCTGTACAAAGGTGGATTTGACTGTCGAAGTGCCTGAAAGTCAACCAGCAGTTACTACAAGTTATAGACCATTTCCTAATAATACCCTTATTAATTTTATAATATACCTACTTGGATACTTTCTTGGGAAAACATCTCTGAAACGTTAAGTATACGCGGATTCGTAATGGCATACACAATTGCCGACTCGGGAGTCTTCATTACTTCCGATTCAACAGTTGCCATTCCTGCACCGAATTTAAGTCCTTAAGCAATAACCACACAGGACTATAGAGCTCAAAGTATGACAGATCAACCATCGACAACAACATTAGCAATCACACCAATGGAACACAAAACAAAACATGTGAAGAAATTTATTATTGTTTAAGAGGGGTGGGGGAAAAAATTACAAATCAAAATCCTGCATTATTTTCCATACAATACATCAAATTCAATCTAGAAATCTGAGACGCGTCCTTTGCGCTCCCAGTCACCATATCTTGTTGGTTCAGGTCCAGCTGGCCCACCAATCTGAAAAACTGAAAGCTTTGTCGTCAATCCTTTAACGAAGGCAGAAATAATCAACAAAAAAAGAAGATGTAGAGCTACATAGACAACAGGAGATAAAAACGCACCTCGCCAGTCTTAGGGTTTACTCCTCCTGGATGCTTTTTTAGGTATGGGTCCTCATACGGCTTCTGCAATAGAAACAACCGTTTAACCAAACGTGTTGCAAGTCAATGATAATTTGATGAGAACATATATGACGACTTTATTCCTCTGTGTGAATAGGGTCGAACCATTTCTCAGACTACTATTAAAGTTTCAATACAAAAAAAAACCATGGAAGATAACACACACACAACGAAAGACTTCAACAGTAACAAGATTACGGCTTTAAACCTTGACAAATCACAACAAGATCACAGCAAACAAAATTATTTTACAAATAAAACGATAAGGCCTTCGGAGTTGATCTATCTCTGTGGGATGCGCCATGCATTCCACTTTATTGAGCATCGTCGGTGACTAAATGCATATCTGGCCTTAACAACGGCTCGCGGTGGCCTACCAATGTTTCGAGCCAGTGATGTTTTCCTCCCAGGCAGGTATGGTTCCAATTTGCCGACCCTGGCGGGAAAGAGGACTTGGTGGAGCTGGGGCGCCGGGAGCGATTCCATGTGTATTGCAGGGCGCCTACGACCACTGCGCTACACGCGCCCTTTGTTACAAATAACCTTGCTGGAAATGTTAAAAATAGAAGAAAAAAAGAGGAAGAAGTTTACGTTACTTCTAACGGATATCTATAACTTTTTACTGTCGTATTCAAATTACTTTAAAATCTCAGAGGTCCTACCAGGTCATCCAGTTTTCCAGTAGGCGTCTTCTCTTTGATAATATCCACGCGATTTTTCTTCGTTACTGTCGATTTCTCACTACTAACAGAACGTATAGAACATCTAGATGAAGATGCAAATGCATTAAATATGATGCGTAACATCACTGAGGTGGAGCAGACAGTGCAAGTACTAAAAAAATTATTAACTAGTCGTAATCACGGACCACACGCCGACAAAAAAGCGATTCACAAACCGACCGTCATCTAACTGACCACGGTAATAATAATGAACAAACCAAGAAGGTATTGACTAATGAAATTGTATTTCACACCAATCGCCATCAAATATATGACTTATCATCAATTACAAACACAAGGTTCACAATGAAAATGTTAATTCTAGCAAAGTATTATTAATGATAGATCTTAAATAGGTACAAGTACACGAAATTCTTAGTTCTACCTCAAAAACAAATGAGATCATCATGCTTTTTTGCACGACAATAAACAAAATGGTTTTCGAAGCAACTTTCGAAGCAACAAATGAGCATGACGTCACTACGTGGCGATCATGGAGGTGATGAAGTCGAATTCCGGGTGCATTGCAGCGAACAGGTGTTGCCAGAAAAGCGGATCGTCCTCTTCGATATCCGACGAAAAGAATACCTAATTTCCAAAATTGAAGTCTTTAGAAAGTATAGAAGAGGAAGAAGAAGAAAGAAGAAGAAGAATGAATGGAAGAAGAAAAGAAGAAGAATGTATGGAAGAAGAATGGAAGAAGGAAAGAAGAAGAAGAAGAAGGAAGAAGAAGAAGAAGGAAGAAGAAGAAGAAGAAGAAGAAGAAGAAGAAGAAAGAAGAAGAAGAAGAAGAAGAAGAAGAAAGAAGAAGAAGAAGAAGAAGAAGAAGAAAGAAGAAGAAGAAGAAGAAGGAAGAAGAAGGAAGAAGAAGGAAGAAGAAGGAAGAAGAAGGAAGAAGAAGGAAGAAGAAGGAAGAAGAAGGAAGAAGAAGGAAGAAGAAGGAAGAAGAANAAGAAGAAGAAGAAGAAGAAGAAGAAGAAGAAAGAAGAAGAAGAAGAAGAAGAAGAAGAAGGAAGAAGAAGGAAGAAGAAGGAAGAAGAAGGAAGAAGAAGGAAGAAGAAGGAAGAAGAAGGAAGAAGAAGAAGAAGAAGAAGAAGAGGAAGTTCTCATTCTAGAAATAGAACGGTGAAACCTTCGCATTTGAACAATTTGAAATCTGTGGTTTAAAAATGTAATCGTTTCAAGATGACTTAGCTACTTACTTGGATACTTGGACGGCCTGTTCTCACTGGTTGTGCGGGCTCCAGCAAAATTTTCATTTTTTCAGCGTTTTGATGGCTTAGCCATTGTGGTTCCCTGGAGTCCCGAGGTCAGCCTAGCCTAGGTCTGCCCTAGATGGTCACCACCACAGGCACTCACCGCTCTAGTGGATTCTGAGATAGATCCGCCACTCTGCGACTAGTTTCATACCCGGACGGTGGTAGATCCTGGCACTGGTTTACTCTTAGATGGCCTTTCCGATGGAAACACCGAACTCGTTCTCAGCCTGGGAGACTGCCGGAAGGATATCCCTCCGCTCTACATCGCTGCCGGACACCTACAAACACCTCGCAACGACGATGAGGCGATGAACCGTTGGGGATTTCACGATGATACTACTAATAATCTGCTGTGGGTCTGATGAACATATACATATTCACAGTGCAAACCTAATTGGTGCCATTAGTTCCGACAGGAATATGTCCCACCTTCATTTTGACCCTCAAAAAAACGAAGGATATCCAATTTGTAAAATGACGCCATTGCGTCAGCTATGGTTAATCATGGAACTGAAACCACGTTTGTAATATGAGCATTATTGATCATCCTAATCGCAAAAGCAGCCGAGAGTGATTGATATGGGTGATCCATAAGATGCAATGACTCATGCAAGTCAGTGGGAAAAACCCTTAACTCCTCATTAAATCATTAAAAAAAAGTGCAAACCTCGTTGAATGATACGTGAAACAGCAAAAATATCGTTCCATCATAGCTCTTGCATAAGGCAACAACAAGAAGTGATTTAAGAAAGTGAATACATCCGTGGTCAAGACGCCGTTCAATACGAGCAAGATCTTGGCTTGACTCTGTTTCCCATGCTTCTGTGCTAGTGAACTCGCTAACAGACCTGTCTCGCATCAGCTCCCTCTCTTCAATGCGCAAAATATGGCAGTTGATTGCTGTGAAGAGCTGGGGACTTCTTGGCTGGAGTATCCTAGGATCACAGGAAGATCCGACTCCTCCAGCATAAAGATGCCTCAAAGACCGTCAATCCGTCCAACAATCCAAAAAGAAATCCGAAGAACGTCGTGGACGATGGACGTAAGGAATAGGATCAAATGAAAGAAGCGGAGCGATCCGCACTATAGGCAACGTCTGGTCATAGGAAAGAAAAATAAACTATTCTCAGTAGCTGGACTCATGAATCTTTATAGATTATACTACGGCCGCATCATTAAAATGTTAAATGCTACCTGTCTTTCACGAAAAATCTTCGCTATTCGAGTTGTGATCGCTTTCACAGATACACTTTGAGTATTTGGCGTGTCCACCAACATCGAGGACATCGGAAATAGCGAAAGTCCAAGCGAGGTCACATCGCTTAATGCAAATCTTTTACGAAGCGCTTAAGTGAAGCTAATATGACTTTCACGACTAGCTTGTTATGAATAGAAAACGCTCATTCTACATGAAATTCACGCTTATAATTCATAAAAACCTAGGAGGGATGGAAATGAAAGATGCAAGAAAAGTGAAAGCTTACTTTCGCCCGACCCAAAACCATACACATCCACTAAGCACGAGGGAGTAACCACGATACTCATGACCATCGAATTTCAAGTGGAATTCTCTCCACATTTCTTCAACAACATACAAGCACTCTGGAACCATACTGAGACATATTGTCCTTCAATACCAAATATTAATCTTAATATTAATACTAAAAATAACAAGTGGTTAATGTCGCATGTCATGTCACAAAACGGCATGTGTCGCGCAGTGATCGGAGGCTCTCTGCAATAAACATGGGATCGATCCCCGTGCCCATGGCTCGTCAAGCCTTCCACCCCTCTAGGGTCCGCGAATTGGTGCCAGACTTGCCTGTAAGGATAACCGCACTGGCTCGCTACATCGGTAGCCCACTGCGAGTCAATGTAAAGACCAGATATGCATTCAATCACCTCCAACGGTGCTTAATGAAGTGGAGTGCATGGCGCACCACCGAGAGATTAATGAAATTCGAGAGCTTTACCCTTTATCCTTTATTAAGGTCGCACTGGAGGAACGGAGGGCTTGGTGGACTGGGGCATTCAAATCGATCACATGTGTACTGCGCTCTCCCTACAGTAAAATTCTTTCAATATCGACTACATTGTCACAGCTCAACTCTACACAGGAACCAGTTCACCAAGCACTAGACCGGACTTTTCATGGTGAAATTACATGTACTTCAAGAAAACAGGTGTACCAGCAATGATCAAAAAACAGTGGACGGTCTTCGAATCATAATCCGCTCTACAGTAACACAAGGAATATAAGAACACTAAGACCTCTACAACACCACCAATAATGGACTCGTTAGAATAAAACTTTATTAGGTTTAAAAGAAAGAAAAAAACGTGCCTACATCGAGACACCTGAGTAAAATATAAACAGGTTACATTTGACTTAATCGTTCAATCACAGACAAGTATTTTGACAACAAATATGGTCAACACCAACTTTCATGTGAACTAGTACTTCCGCTACCAAACTCTCACTGATCGAATACGCTAAGCACTAAACGAACGAACAAACGAACGTTAGCTTTAACTAGTTACTTAAGACATGGCACTAATTCCTACTTGGAGAAATGTTAACTGGTATGAACAGTAGTGAATCAACAACAATAATCATGCAGGAATCAACGCCATTCACCGGAATCTGTGATAAAAAAGGAACGAAACAACCTTCTATGAATAAGAAGTGTTGAAAACGAACAAAAATAACGAGTTTTGACAAAATTAAGAACAATACAGTACGTACAGTGATGATTAGGAATTCATCCAATCATTGGATGAGAATGATCGATCAAACATCAAAGGAATAAACCAATTATACTCTCCTTTAAGCAGTAATCAACACAAGAATTACAAAACGACAGAACCGTAAAGCTTCAGTCACTTGCTAACACTGCTTAAAGTCAGAACTAGAACAAACTTAACCACCTGTGACTTCAAGTTATTAGTAAGAAAAATAATAATTTTAATCAGGAAATGAAAAAACAGCACGAGTCATGAACGCGTACACATTCAATGTCAAGTGATAATACGAGTGCCTAATAGAGTTCATTCCAATAAATAGAGTTCAATCACGAAAAAAAAAATGATGAGAGGACTAACAATGTGTAAACTTATTTCCTGCACGGGCCATTTGATTGACAAATCTTATAATCGAGCCAGTTCGACAGTGAAAGAACGCTGATATCGGAAATGTCCTGTATAAAACAAACACACTGCACTGTTGTTACGGATGAACAAAATACTTGAAAGTTCCCGCCGGATTCTCTCATTGAGGAGGCTACCTCTTAGACATTAAGAGTTAGCTAGTAACGCGCTTCATTCCTAAGTGGTGGAAAAAGGCTAAGTTCGGATTGAAACCAAACAAGTACATTTCCTGGACGGACACTGCTGTGCCAGACTGACCTATACTTCATAATTTCTATTACTTAATACCTTTAACTTTTTAGACTTATAACTTTAGACTAACTTATAACGCAAGGGCTGGCAAAATCTCATGACCTTTCTAAATTGCTTAAATTTGGTGGGACTAAGGTTAGAAACTTCAATTACAAGGCATGCACCTGAATTCTCCAATGACGACCTGGTGATTCAGGCTCAGAGGAGTAGGCACGACGTCATCAAAGAGGCCACCCATTTTAAGTACGTATACGACACAGAAGTACTGTTCCTTGGATAAAGGATAAAGGATACAGCAATAATCCTACACATTACTAAGCTGGATACGAGGATGGTATAAAAAATTTTATTTAGATAATGTTGCAGTGCTCTCGCCCTCTTTAGAATCGCGTTGATTCGAATCCATAGTTCCAAGTCGCGTAAAAGTTTTTATAGAAACCTCGTATCAGCTCAACCATATAGAAAATTACTGATTATTATTATTGAAGCTTAATGGAAAGTCAGTTTTTAAGATAAAGGACAAAGCGTTTGGCTTTGTTTAATCCCTAAGGAATGTGCCATGAACTCGACTTCATCAACCATTGCTAGAGGCGATTGCATGGACATTTGATCTATACTCACTCGCGGTGGCCTACCGGTCTATCAGATCAGTGCTACGTTCCCAGACCTAGCACCAATTAGCCGATCCTGGAGAGATGGCAGGCTTGATGGGCTCGGGTCGCGCGATCGAACAAGTGACCACGTGCACATTGCAGGGCACCCTTAAACACTTCACTACACGCTCTCTTCTGCCTCGGAATATGCGAAAACGGAGGAATCAGGAAGATTGCACCTTGTGAACATAAATTTAGCCGTGAAGACCAACTCCTTTGAAAAATAAACAACCTCAATCGGAGGCTTGAAGAAATGTGGATCGACATCACCTTTGGCAATCAACGGCACCTACGCACCCTCAACAAGCTATGACGAAGACGAGGTCTTTTTGGTCACCAATGGCGATCTCAACGCTAAGGTTGGACACATGAAAACGTCTAAGGAAAATTATATTTGAATCCGTGGATTGGAACGGAACAAGCAGGGTGGGCAGCTGTCGGAGTTTATCAAAACGACAATGCCGAACGTTAGTGCCGTACAAACTGAATGTTTCACCTAACCGATCTCGCTGTTGCTTCAATATTTTCCCTACAGCAAGCACAACCCGTTTGTCACCTCTCGCGCCCGACAACGGCAGAGGGAAACTTTACCAGCTTCCGCTCAAGTTTGGACGTTATATCAGCATGATAGAAGAACAATCAGTGTTATCGAACATGATATTTTAAAGTGTGACGTTTGGAAAATTTTGAAGCATGTAAGTGTTAGAGCAAATCCCAATTTCGGGCTTAATTCGACAATTTAAAGATTCAATGTTTTTCTTCAATAAACAGACAAGAGGCTGTTAATATAGAATTTATTAGAATACAATAGCTGACGTTTCGGCGGTTTCGCCTTCTTCAGAGCCGTTTATTTGTTGTAAGTATTTAAGTTAGTTGGTGGATAGCAGCCGCACAGAGTAATACATGGGCGATAATTTAAAGATTAGGCTATTTCTTTCAAACGTAATGGCATAGTAGTTTCCGAGTTCTTTGTAATAATTAGTTGTAACGCAAATGAGAGGAATTGTTTGCGAATCAAAACAGTTTTATATCCTTTCAAAGAAAATTCACACTGTATGGATTGCTAATATTATTTATAAAACTCGCTTTGCGGCTTCATAAAAAGAACGAAATGGAAGGCCATTACTGCAACGAGTATTCTTCTGCCACAAGCAAACGGACCAGATTTCCAATACCTTCCCAGAATAAAAATAAGAGCTTTCCTGCCTATTCTCTTAACTACATGTTAGAATTGCTTACTTGTCACAATCGCATCTCCAGTGGATCATTGAACACCCAGGTGTTATTGGAAGTCAGGGAGAAGTAACGTGTTTTCCAACGTTCGCCTTTTTCAAGACGCTGTTTCGCTTCTGCTCGTTGTCGTTGTTCTATTAACCGTTTCGCAGTCGTCGCAACATTGATACGATTCCGGAGCAATGCTACTGTCACATGCCGCCATAATCTAAATATTCATTAGATGGATTAATGAACATGGTTAGATTACTAGTCCTTCGCTTTTCTGTTGCCGTAGCTTATCACCAAACTATACGATTTTTCAGTGGTACAGGTGTCCTTGATTGAACAGCAATAGTAAGTCATAACAGTTCCCAGGATCGACTTTCCCTTAACGTCGGCATTGGAATACAAATTCGTTTTCTTTCTCAACAATCGCTAGGTTGTTAAACAGCATACGTTTACCTCCATACAATTACACAGAACAAAACCGTAGATGACATTTCGGCAGAGTCGCCTTCTTCAGAGCCGCTTTTTATCACCTGTCTTCCACCGTGCTTGATCAGCTACGGTTGTGTGTATGTGTGTTATTGTATGGAAGTAAACGTATGCTGAACAACCTCGAGATTGCTGAGAAACAAAACGACGAATTAAGTCATAAGCTGCCGAGGAGTTGAGTCAAAAGCAGCTGAGTAATTATGCAGCGATAGTTTACTTCAAACAAATTAAACTGAACAGTTAAGTTACACAGTTAAGTAGTTGAGTATAGTATAAATGCATTTCAAAACCCCACAACTATGTCTTTCCATGCACCTTTAACTACTTCGAAAAAAGTCTTCAAAGATACCGCCGACTCTCTCGTTCTCCTTGTTGCATGACTGGTACACATTCCTTCTTCATCTCCGGTTGAGCCTTCACATCAATGAATAAGTACTCGTCACCATAAGCTGGTTTTGCCATCATCACATTATTCCACTCTCCACGAATTGTCATAAACGGCTTTTTACAGCTTTCCCTGCAGAAAGCAGAACATGATGGTTGTGTATTGAAATTAAAGTACAAAGGAGCTTCTTCATGTTGAACAATCACATCAGCCGATGTAGCTCTGTGAACTTCATTTAATTTGAGCTTGGACCCACCTGCATCAAGTATCGATGTGCTAACTGTCTCTCTCTTTCAGACATTTTTCCTTCTCTTTTTTCTTTTTTCCATTTTTTTTAGATCTTAGACCACCATAAACTTTTACAATTCCCCACATACATTTTCACTTGACATGAAGCTCTAGGTCAGTCTCGACTAGAATCAGAAGAAATCCGAAGGATACCCATCGAAATCGGTGAAATATCATCAAAATTATACCTGAACAAGTTGGCCTGGACCCTATGCGGCTTTCCACCAAAGAATGGTTTCGTCAAAAAATCTACATCAGCGTAGTATCCAGTTTTTTCGCAAGTGATTTTCACCTGCAATACCACCCACTCAATTACAACATATAATGCCCTTTGTGCATTGATCTCAATACATTTGGAAATAATGGCCGCTTTTAACTCCAAACCACAATAGTTTATCTCGAAATGAATGTCTTTTTTGAAACAATTCACCTCTGATTTTTTTTTATTAATTTTTCTAAGCAGACCTCAGCTTCAACTTGACAAATTTGCTTTTTCCTCAAAAAGACAAGGAACTATGTGCTGAAAACCTGCGGACGACGGGCCTATTATCCCTTATGGTAGCTAGATATACGTATTCAATAACGAAATCGGAATCGCAATATGCATTCTACTTCACTGAGCACCCTTGGAGGTGATTGAATGCATGTGGCCATTACAATGCCTCGCACTACCGATGTATCAAACCAGTGCTGCTATCCTCCCAAATAGGTCTGGTTGCCGAACCTGGAGGGATGGAGGGTTTGGTGGGCCATGGGGCGCGAGATTCGATTCCATGTGCGTGTTGCAGCGCGCCTCCGACCATTGAGCCACAAGCGCCTCTTTTACACCATACACAACGAAACCTGTACATCGCCTTAGTTCGACGAAAACTACCCTGCATTCTATATACACGAAAACCTGCGCATCTCTCAAGTTCGAATAGGATCCGAACGCATTTTTTATTTGATAAACTCATTCGTGCCATACTGTGTTCACTTACAATTGCAGCTAAAAGTCTTATGCAACGTGAAACCCAAGTGAAAAAAAACTCAACTGCTTTGACATATTCGCACCCACTCATAATTTTCATTAGCAGGCGAATGGCTATGTCTAATTTCTCGGTGTATGTGGTGCGCAATGATCTCAACGCATACAGTTCGCTGAGCTTCCCCTGTGGTAATCTCGTTAGCGGATATACCTTAGAACCCTCTTCACTAACAAGTCTTCGTAGTAAGACAAAAAACCTCGTAAAACTTTGTGAGGTAAAATAAATAACCAGAAAGAAAGCAGCTCAAATGAATGAAAGGATCAATACTCTACGTGTTTACATTAAAATCAATACGTATGGTCATGAATGTGTTGAAAGAGTTCAACTAATTAAAGCGCACCATAGCAATATTGTAACCATCAAATTGTCCAAAAAGTAATGGTTGTAAGCAGCAAATTATCTGGAACTCAAAGTAACCAATGGTAGCGAGAATTCATTAAAAAAATCAAGTCATAAAATGGACTTTTGCTTGAAAGGTAGCCCTAACAGTGTTCAACAGATCCAGGAGTTACAAAATAAGAACAAAGAAAAATGATAACTGCACTGAATCTACTATATAAGTTTAACATTATGGTATATTCGGGCTACTGCAAAGACGTAGCTAACCTTCCCTCCGAGTTCGACCCACGGCGTACTCATAATGGAACGACCATATCCACTCGGAAACGTTACCGTATACTTTTCATCGCGATCATGAAGAGTTACTGTACCACTACCAATATTGGCAACTCCTTAATTAAAAAGCAATTGTTCGAAAACACATCGTCGCATTTGGGAGATAGTGTTCAAAAAATCTGACCGATTGACAATCCTAAAAAGGACGACTTAGTATAAATATGAGCGTTGAACGATATTCGTTTTCCCGGATGCTCAGCATAAAACGCCGACACGGGTGGATGGTGACTTACCTGAAGAAACTATTACAATAATATGCCTTCTTATAAAGCTAAAAAATCCACCAAAATTGGGAATAATTCAAAAAACCTGCTCGGCGATAAATGTCAACTGGTTCTCATCTGAACCAGGAAATGGCCCATTTTCCGTTTTGACACCGGTATGCGGAAGATTAGGTACATTGTAGCTGTAAATTCCCAATATTTACAAGGATAGAAATTTGTTGGTTCAAAAAAAGCGCCATAAAAATGCCATTACAATATAAATGTGAATAATAGTTTTAAAAACTGTTTTCCACATAGAAGCTTTACCGATAGTATCATCCATGCATAAATAAGGAACTCAACGACTCATAGAACGGGCTCTTTGACAACCGCCAAAAATTTCTCGAAAACTAGAGAATTAGAAGAGTTGAGAACTTGACAGAATTATAGAAGAAAATTCCTATACAAACATTTTAATTCTACAATCGGTTAAAAAAGGATAAAGTTCTCGGCGTTGATCAATTCCTGAGGGATGTATCATGCATTCGACTTCATTAAGTATCGCTTAGAGGTGATTGAATACATATTTGTCCTTCACAGTGACTCACGACGGCCTGCGGATGTATCGAGTCAGTGCTGGTATCCTCCCAAACAAGCCTGGTACCAATTTGCCAACTGCAAAAGTGGATGGAAGGCTTGACGAGCCTTGGGGGCGGGAATCGATCCCATGTCATGCATTTCAGGATGCCTCCGACCGTTGTGCTAAACGCGCCGTTCTCCACACTCGATTAACTCTTAAATTCTCGGAAAACACAAGTTTTTTTTAATTAAAGTCGCAAACACCAAACACCGAGCCATCGGGAAATACTAAACGAAATATGTTTGTTTGTCATATTATGGTTCGAATTACAAGCTTCGACAACATAACCACACTTTGTGAACTTCATAAAAATAGAATTTCATCTTCGTAGAATAGGAAAGACTTACACTATATTTGTAAAAATTTGCAGATTGTACAAGTAGGTAAATTTTATGTGTATTATCTTTATATGCTAGAAAAACTTCGTTTTCACAGGTGCCACCCTGTCGATACCACGTTTTGTTTCAGATGTGATGGCAGATTTCGGCGCCTTATACTCTACCACTTCTGTTTTTTCTTTCCTTCCTTCTTCTAGTATAATTCCGTAGAATGAAATGAATGAAGTAATGAAAAGAACTTCCATTATTTACCGGACGCAACAGGTCCTCAGCTTTTGATATGACTGAGTAGTAAGAAGTTATGCTCGTCTTAATCACATACGAAACACACCATCTTCTGAGTAAATAATCCTCGACCAAAAACAAATATTCAACTTGACCTTTTAGCAAATTTTCTCGTATTTAGTGGTGGGACGGTACTTGATTTTTTCACCGGTATGAAAGCTCGTGTTTGGAAAAACAATCTTGGCATTTCATATGTAAAATGAAGTAGGGTGTTCCAATCAATTACTACCTGATGGTCTGCCTGTTGGTTATGCTTTTAAACTAAAATTCCGGAAAAATGGGTTATTCAGATTTGTCAACCACTTAAACCTCCTGGATTACCAATTCCATTTTCAGAAATTTGTCAAGGCAGTATCCTATCTTATTACCTAAGGAGAGCATAACACTTCACCACTGACAGAGAGAGCTAGGGTTATACACAGTAAAAGTCTAGAAATAAAATCTTTACTCTTATTTGTCACAACTTATTTCTAGTTCTAATATATTAAACATCGCATCATATACTAGTTCAACGCCAACAAAAACCTAACCACTAAGAGGCCGCAGATTTTCGAATTATTAACAATTCAGCTGTAAACAAATGCCTTTTAAACACTCAAGCCATGTATGTTAACAAATGTTCAATACCGCACAGAATTGTAGAATGGTAGACTAAATCAAAACCAGTAATCAACGCACCGACAACGAAATGTCTCTCCCAGAATTGGGTTATATGGCTTCTTTGCCACGCCACTTTTTCTCGCCGCGTAGAAGGCATTCAGATAGTACTTCACCACCGACCTTCAAGTTGCTTGTGACAGTGAATACATTTAGAATAATATTTCAAAAACATTAACACGAAAAGCAAAGAAGAAATCTGAAAGCAGCATACACGAATCTGTCCTGAGGCGTTTCGAGATCAACAGTGACAATAAATGCATCTGGATGAGCAAAGAAATCGGCATACATTTCCAATAACGAACGACGTTCCAGAATGAAAGTAGGCAGTGTGACTTTCGTTAGGTCCATCCCGATACTCACCTTGAATCAAATGACCCATACGTACAAAGAAAAGAAGGGCTATTCAAAAACTACATACATTAATTTGGTATGTCATTGAAAGAAATATCGATTACGGTTATCGAAAATTGAAAACGCTTCAAATTTTTTGAAAACTTCAACGCGAAAGCGGCAGCTGCAAGGATCAACGGGACCGCGTTAACCTCTACGATATCTCAACTGTTCAATGCGTACAATTTTCAAACAAGGAGCTTCGAATAAAAAAAAGACATGAGAAACGCATTTCGTAAGTATTTTGGAATTGCCAGGATTTTGTCAGAAAAATCTGGATTTTGTTGCTGTAGAATACGCGAAATGCATTGTTGGTAAAGGTTTCTTGATTCTAACAACTTCGATTTCAGTTAATGTTTAGAATCAGCTGCTGTAGGCTGGTTTGGAGAAAAAAAAAGCGTCCATTGTTTTCGCACCGTATGTATCGAGATCAATGCACATCGGCGAAATGCATATAAAATGAGTATTTTAGCGTAAAATAATATTAAAGCTCTACTAAGACCACAAATCGTGTCGATTGTATATATAACAAAAATATTTTTTTGTAAAGAAAAACTCTTTAAACGGAATAGAACTATCTCTACGTGCCATCTCTTATGTACTACGAAACCGTTCTGCCAGTGTTAACTGAACTGTATAAGCAGTGCAGAAAAATAAGAACAACCTTTCAAACCGCGCTATCCGATGTACTTTCTGCATAAACTTTTCATCTTATCTAAAGTACGATCTATAAATACGCCCTTGTAAGCGCTCCAGTTTTGCATGCAACATGACGTTCCATTCTACCCTATCTGATTGCACTAACTGGAAAAATGAAGAATATTTGTACTAACCCTCTCACTAGATAGCTAGATAGAATTATAGACCGTATTAGTGGTTATCTTTCCCGGCCAATGCATAACACAGCAAAGGATACATAGAGCACCACACTTATACGATTTGATCAACAGAATCTGGGAAACTGTGTATTAGGGAGTTAAGCAAAGCCGCTATGTAGTTCTCACCTGGCTGAGAAGATGCACTAAAACTGATCCGTGCTCTTGCTGGACATTCCCGACGTCGTGTTCTTCCGCATTGTCGTAAATGGCGTCAAAGTCCTCGTGAGAATCACCGAAGTCGAAATTATCTGGCTCCCCATGCGACATATCTTTCATTGAACCATCAGGAATTGTTACTTCGGCCTAAAATATTTGCAATAACTGGAATATTCACCGAATATAAGACCAGCTTTATAGGATTTGAGTTATTTCCGCTTGATCAGAAAGACTCACTACCCAACCAAATCACCGAAGTACTACATTGGTAATGTTCACCCTTCAAGATAAATAGTCGTGTTCACGCTTCAGAGGCATGTCTACCATAGTCCTTAGAGGTGGCCTACAATACAATTGGTCGTTGGTTCGATCCCGCGCTCACGGCCAACTAATTCTGGAAGGATAGAAGGAAAGACCCTATATATCAGCAGGCCTTTGTAAGTCAGTGAGTAAGCCAAATATGCATTTCATTCGCCTCTGGGACTCTTAAAGGAGTGGAATGCATGACACACCGCTCAGCCAATGGCCAGCGCTCACAGCTTTCACGCTTCATACACGCTTAATAATTTTATTGAAACAGCTGATGTGGATTTCAATTATGAAAATGACCTAAACGGTCAACTGATGAAATACCTCTATTCAATGTAAGATGCACCTGTTACCAACTGCCCAAGCTGGTAGAAGGAAAGGTTTGATTAGTTCATCATTATCGCACGGCGCTATACATCACCACACCTCCAGGCTACTATATAAATTTGATAAAACTAGCGAAGATTGCTGGTGGATAAGCTTTTGGCAACAAGACTGAAGATAGAACAACCCACAATACACCTTCTTAACGTCATTTTTTGATACCCTAGCATTTTCCGATGCCAAAAAACTCCTGTGTTTGTTGCGACATAAAGAAAGGATAAAGCTCTTGGCGTTGATCAATCCCTGAAGGATACGCCAAGCATTCGACTTCACTAAACATGTTTGGAGGTGATTGAATGCATATATGGCCTTTACGAAGGCTCGTGGTGTCGTACCGATGTATAGAGACAGTGCTCCTGTCCTCGCAGACAAGTCTGGTACCATTTCGCCCACCTCGGAGAGATGATGGGCTTGGTGGACTATGGGCGCGGGGATCGATTCCACGTGTGTTGCAGGGCACCTCTGACCAGTGGGCCACACGCGCCCTTTTTGTTGCGACATATTATTAAAAATACAGAACTTGTCTGTATGCAGCGCTAACAACCACGTGCTATAATGCGACTTTGGGTAGTAACTTTCGATATCTACAGAGTTGAAAAAGAACCGCTCCTGGGTTTTGGGAGTGGAGGAAGTATTAAAAGACCATAAGCACCTTTAAGAAATTCTAGCTCGTGCTTTCTTGTTGATAAAATTTTAGCCAAGTTTTAGCACGAATGTGCATAAAAATTATTCATTTCCTGGATAAATGAAAACATTTTTCGTCATTTGCCTGTGAAAACAGTGTGTGGTGTTTTCCAGACATGGTGTATTAACCAACCAACAATTTACAGCTGCAAGTACAAGTCGGAGTACCCATAAAACCATGGCTTTTTCCGCATGGTTTAGGAACGATTACTTTTCAAGAGATCGGTCAACTGTTAACTAACAAGAAAAATTATGCCAAGTTTAACTCAAAAAACGACTTTCTATAAACGTCAGCATGAATAGTCGATATATTTATTTCGATGTTCCTATGAACTGATTTTGGGACTTCGCACTCGCAACGTCACGACTCTGAGGGAGGCGAAATCGCCGAAACGTCAGCCATCGACCAACAACGACAACAACAACAACAACAACAACAACAACAACGACAACTTGTACCAGCCTCGAACGAGTTCAAGAAGATCAGTTCATAAGAACATAAGCTAAGTTTAGTTAAAACTGAAGTTGATATAGTTAGTATGCTATATGTAGTTAAAAATTATAACCGTGAACTTAACTTGTAGTATTTGCTGTTGTTCTACACTTTACAGGGGAAAGGGATTTGTCAGTAACTATAAAACAGAGACAAAGTAAAAACGTAAAGCATTCGGATTTAACGTATCCCTTGGGGACGTGCCGTGCATTGAATTCCACTAAGCACGCCTATAGTGTGTAAGTGAGCGTTTTCATCCTTCCAGACAAATTCGCTACCAATTTGCCGACTCTGCATGATTGAGGTTTTGAGTAGCCGATGACGCGCGATCTGACGTGGTTTCGCAAGCCGCCTCCAACTACCGTGCTACATGCGCCGTATGGCTGAGTAAACCAACAAAAATTCCATCAAAATTATTGGCGTATTTACATTCGGAAAGTACAGTCGTCACAACAGATTGGGAAAGATTTCTTAGCATGACACTTTTTTAAAGTAGCAGTTTGTTTTCTCTGCGATTTTTTTAAAATGACGCCTAAGAGATCGTCTTGAACTTAAGTACTCATTAACGATAAATAACAACAATAGACGGACATGAAAATAGCACGTACCTTGTCCAAATCAATCAATTCCTCATCAGCGTCATAAAACTCCTCGTCGCTGCTGAAAAAAAAACGTTATTGTTCAATACGATTAATTTAATAAGGCTAAGCCCATATGACTCGAAATTTGTTATATAGTAGGAAAAAAGAATGAACAATTCTAAATCATATCTCACTACGACCTTGGATATAATGACGACAGTTCTGATGAGCTATAAAATACGAAGTTTCGTAACTGTTTTAATTTTTTAATTATTCCCTATTCCTTTCTCATAGCAACGCACGATGTGAACTACAACCACAAGGATGCTGAGATATGGGCAATAACTTCAACCCCTGTTGGGCCTCTAACCCGCGATTACCTTTACCGCATCTTCCCTTACGTTTGTTTTATTTTATCGGTTCTGTGCTGTAAGTTAAAACATTGAGATTTCGACTGAAGCTTCAGTTTAACAGGTTTCGTTACCGATTTATGCTTTAAAGATAATCACAGTTGACGGTGATATTCTCGGATTATTGCTGATAACACCAAAAGAGTAAGAAACGGCAGACACAGAGGCGAAGAAAGAGTATTGGTTGGTGTGGTGCATAGCAAGTGAGCCCCAGGTAAGGGCAATGACGGCTTCGAAGCCCACTTCAGATTCCGACTTTTGCCCATATTCCAGCATCCTTGTGGTTATGTTTCGTAATTGTTCTTAATTAGTTATAGCTCACTAAAATAGATACTAAGCATAAAAATTAATAAATATGACAAGCAATGTATGCAAATCTTACAGTACACTTCGATCGGCTGCCGACAACTTGATTGGTCTAGAAAGCCCATAATATTTGGAAGAAAAATGTGTCATGGATTTGTTTGAACATTGTCATCGACAAGCGGGAACTCGGCTGCCGAATAAGAAACGAAATAGAGCAGCTGTTATAAATGCACTAGATAATGTTTCAAACAAATCCGCATTGAATAATTCGTAAAATGGCCGAGATTGGTCTTATGGAACTAAAATGAGAAAAAAAAACGATATCACAGTGCAGTCTTTGTTGGCGATGAGTTTCTAAAAATCTGGTAATAATTTGAAAAGAAAAACGAATAGATTAAAAGCCGCGATATCGTTGAAAGAGCGTTACAGACAAATGACAGAGATGACTTTGATATGCTTAAGATCGCTAGGAACTAATGACCGCTAGTTTTCGTAGATACACATAACAGTAATGAACACTGAAGGTAACGATTGTATATATCTTTCTACTTCTGTTCAGCAAACACGAGGTGCTATTTTATTTCTTTATTTACGCACAAGCTGACGTTTCGGCTGATTTCGCCTTCCTCAGAGCCTGGAAGGGTCAAGTTGACAGCAATCCACTCGGCCAAACACCTCCATAACCAAACAGAGAAAACGCTAAACCAAAATTTCAATCACATTTAGCATAGCTCTGCACACTCACCGCTTTCTATGAGTCTTCCATTGAGTANCTTCCATTGAGTATGTCGCGTGAAGACCGACCGCACGGAATTCACATGGAAGCGTAATGTGCCCCTCCCATCAGAATAACAGGTTTATATATTGTCCAATAACACGCGTGATAACGAGGCATTCCTCCCTGCGGTTCATTTTCGGATTCTTGGAATTAATCCAGAATGCCTCTAGAGTTTTGCGCGTTTGTGTTCTCGATTCTTGCGCGAGGATCGTAACCCTTACTTCAAAATCTTCTCCGTTATGTTTCTGCGTGCTATGCGTACCTAGTGGAGTACTTAGCTTACGTTTACCGACTAGGTGTTCTTTTATACGTACGCAGAGTGGTCTACCCGTTTCGCCAACGTATTCGTCCCCGCACGCTTTACAAGAGATCAGATAGACAGTACCCGAACTCATGCAGTCACCGTTGAACAAATGACCAAGCAGTCATCTATATATCTACAGTAGAGTAACGGACCGAGGTCGATTATTGGCGTTTCCACCAGTCTAGAGAATTTGGTAACGATAATCGAAATACCACCGAGTAATCTAAGGGGTAGAAGCGCCAGTAATCGACCTCGATCCGTTACTCTATTGTAGATATATAGATGACAGCTTGGTCATTTGTTCAACACAAGAAGAAATCGACAGATGTTTCGAGTTGTTGAACACACAGTCAGAGTATATTAAATTCACCCGAGAGAAACCAAAAGAAGACTGGCTTCCATTTCTGAACGTGCAAATTAGCCTATCAGAAAACGGCTACATTACGAAGTGGTATCGAAAGACAAGTAGTTAAAACATCCTAGTTCATTACCTCTCCTCTCATCCCTCTCACACGAAAAGGGCGCTTGTGAGAAACATGTATCGAACAGCTACCAGCGTGTGCACAGGAAGACAACAGAGAGAGGAGTCCCGGAACTTGGTGCGGCAAATAGCCATTTTTAATGGCTACGAAATCGTAGCTCGAGATAGGTGTAGAGGAAACCACAGGTACCCCAACAATAACTCTAGCGACAACAAGGTCCCGTTTATACTGCCCTTTATTTCAAGTGAAGTAGGTGCAGCTATAAAACGCTGTTTAAGAAGGGCCAGTCTAGAGAATTCGGTAACAAAAATCGAAATACCACCGAATAATCTAAGGCGCCAGCTAGTTCGTAACCGCCTATGTGCAACGCAAAATTGCATAATTTGCCCCAATGGTAGAGACGGTGACTGCATGAG